AGTCCATGGTTTTCCCATCTGGGCAAAAGGATACCAAGGAGAACAGAATCTATCATGATCCCAAACTCCAGCTGCTCCTGCACCCATGTGGGATCAGGCCGCATTGTTGTCTTTAAGAGCCGTAGAAGCAGGGCTGCGCAAGAGAAGGCTTGGTATTTGATCTGCATTTATCACCTTCCACCCACTTGCTCCAGCTGACTTCAGACCTTGGTCCAAATCTGCAAAGGTGACGAGTGATTTTGGGTGTCTCAGTTTCTAGGTGGCAACTAGAGACCCCTTAAAGGGGCCTGAGATGGGCCAAGCAGGTCTTTTTAATGTGTCACAACTTGGGCACCCAAAATCACTAGTCATCTTGAAAAATCTTAACCAGTCTTTCTCCCCAGTTCTCCACCACGCTAGTAGCATGGGTCTGCTCTCTGTCCCTTTGCAGATCTCACAACTGCTGGTGCAAGAACCTTCTCCTATGCTTCTGCTACACCTGAAACATTTCCTGTATATTTCTGCTCCACTCCCCACATATAGCAGGGGCCTCTCTCAGCCTGTCTCTTTGCCACTGTCCACAGGAGAGTCTTTCTGGCAGCTCTTAGCAAATTCCTGAATCTCTGTCTCATTTCAAATCTCACCAGATAACGCAGGTTGTCTCTGATGCCTCTTAAGTTCTCTCATTATCATCATTTATTATTATTTATATTCCAGCAGCACATGAGATCAGGGCCCCATTGCACTGGGCACTGTATGTAGTGAGAATCTCTGCCCTCAGGAGCTTACAATCTAAACTCACGCTGCTCTCCCCTCTCTTCCCGTTTAACTCAACATTTGTTGGGACACAGCTTGTACACCAGAGGCTATAAAGCTCCATTGGATTATATAGCATTGGTGTCTTTTAATCAAGTGGAGCCGCTAATATAGTTCAGTGAACAACTATGACTTGCTGGCCAGTTGAGGTTTTTCCCTTTCTTCCCAGGTATTTAAGGCCTCCCACATTTCTCTTAAGAGAAAGGTGCAGTGGAAACACAAAGATTTCCACCTCTTTGTAGGCCACGAATCAATGGGAATAGTTAAATGAGCAGAGCAAACTTAGGTCTGTTGGAGGGACAGATACAGAGGTAAGGGAAAAACAGATTCAATGACTAATACATGTGTTTTCCATTTTAGTCCATGTGTGTAAAATTCAGCCTTGAGATGAGAAATATGCAGGTAACCAGCACTTACACTCTTTGGAATCTACATAGCACTTGTCATTTGGATAAGTGTTGTTACTCCCATTTTACAGATGGGGAAACTGAGGCACAACGAGGGACAGTGACTCCCTCCAGGTCATATTGTGAACCAATGGTAGAGCAGAGAATGCATTCCCAGATCTCCTACCATGCTGTCTCTACACTTGTCTACTGATAGAAAGATAGGGTAAAAGAGACATCGATATAAATCATAGTCAAATGGTCCAAGCACAGGAGCCAGTTCTGTACCCAGCTCTTATAGTGACTCATTGTTTGATCTTAGGCAGTCCCCTCCTCTCCCTGTGCCTCAGTTTCCCCTTCTATAGAATGTGGGTGATGATACTGACCTCTCTCCTGGAGGTGCTTGGGAGTGTCAGTGTTCTGTACAGCCCCTTGAGGATGCTCCATATGGACCTGACCTAAAGCCCACTGACATCAATGGAACGATTCCCATTTACTTCAATGGACTTTGGATCGGGCTCTATGTCCAGAGCCCTCTTCTTCTGCACAGATCCTGGGAGCCATCCAATCCCCTTTCGCTGCGTACAGAACCCAGCCACTCTGGTAGCATGAAGTATCCCCAGACCTTGCCAGACAGATGATAAGGTGCTGCAGCAAAAGGTTTCCGCTCTATTTCTCAGCTGTCTCCACACCGCTTTGGCTCACCCTCCATAGTTTCCGTCAGCCTGTCTGCAACCTTCCGCACCACAGCACTCATGGTCATTTTGCCATTCAGCAGCAGCTCCTCCACAATCAGCTCGCCCATATCGCTGTAGAGGGTCTTGGCAGTGTAGATGTAACGTGGATACCGGAGGATCCTCAGCACCCGACTACACGGAGCTTCGTACTCCACAAAGCCTCGCTTCTGCAGCTGGTAGGTCACTAGGTTGTGTTGAATGAGGACACAGAGAGCTTTCTTAACCTGCACATGCCAGAGAAAGGAACGAGCCACGTACTTGGAAACTTAGCATAGTTTATATGGCGGAAATCGACCATCATGCTTCAGGGCTGATCACCTCTGGGATTAGGAAGGGCATGCCCCTCCTCTTATGTGTTTAGGTGCTTTATCTCCATCCATATGGTCACACGTTCCCCAATTAGCACTGATAATTAACAACCTAAGATAAAGCTACTGAGCGTTCACCAGATCATCTTTATTGTGGGAGAGGTGAGGGTGACGTTTGAAATTCCCCAGGGCCTCCGGCTATCATAGAACTAAGAGATGGAAAAACCTACAAGATCTCCTCCTACTCGAGGCAGGGCCTGAGAATCTCGACTGTAGTCCTGACTTGCTCTGTGAGTTTGGGCCACTAAGTCTCATCTCCTTATTCTCCAGATGCTGCACTAACTTCAGAGAACTCCATCTTTTGTCCTCTCCACCCCTTATAAAACTAAATTTTTTAATTTTAGTTTTAAACACCCTCCTTCCCTTTGCCCTTCTGTGGAGAGGTAAGAGCTCAGAACCTTTTCTGTTAAAGCCGATTGCAATTTGTACTATTAAAGAAACTGATTTGGTTTTAAGGAGACATGTTCAAATTCTGATTTAACCTTTTGCAAACACTTTTAGAATAACAGAATCCTTCAAAAGCACCAGAAATGGTGACTGACAAGTTGTAATGAGTGAATAATAGTTTAGTCAGCTATGTGATCCAAAGGAGACTAACTCCTAGAGTATTCCAGACATACCTGATCCAGCGACATCCCTGTGTCGTTGGCAATCACTCTCAGCGGCTGGCTGCCTGTCTTGATAAGATGAGTCCCTATCTTTTCCACGATCTCGCCAAAATGTTCTTGCAGCAGGAGGGAACAGAGTTTAATTTCTGCCTGAGTCATCTTGCCGGCAAATTAAAATACTAGAAGAATATGGGGAAAAGCCATTTATGTTATTAAAGTTATCAGGTGAGACAGGCGAGTGCAGGAGATTTGCTGATTAGATACAAAGATTTTCACCTCTCGAGTCACCTGTTTGAATTGGCCTAGATCAGTGGAGACTAAAAGCTGTTACCAATTCATGCCTGAAATGAATCTGGTGGGTTTGTGGCTAAGCCTATATCAAAACTGCCATCACAGCCAGCCCCCTTGTTGGCAAACGGGGCAGGCAGGCCTGCCCTCCAAGGACTGAATGAGCCATGGAAACTAAACACATAGTATCCCCTGAGATGATCCCTCCAGGGCAGGGTGGGCTGTGTGGAAAGCTTGCCTTGTCCTTTTCTACTGCTGCATCTGTTCTGCAGATAATCCACCTCTAGGGCTGCCAGTCGGGCACTCCATTCATTTCAAAATTAAGAGCCACAACAATGTCTGCCATGCAGGCAGCACTATAGGAGCTAAAGAATCCTTACGGGATGCTTCAGGAGAGATGCATAATGGGGGGCCTAATGGAACTGAAATGTTGATAAGGAATTTTATATGGAAACAAAGGACTGAAAGGCAGGAGAAGATAGCTCAGCAAATAGCCTTTTTCAGCTCGGAGGAGGGCTCCTCCAAACGACCTTCATATAAGTGCTAGGTCTACACAGTCTAATTGACTGTGACAGGCGCGATACACCCTGAGCCAAGGTGGCAGTAGTGCACAACTAACATCCAGGTGAATTGTCAGCCAACAGAACCCACAGGGACAGAGGCTTGGTGTCAGAAGAAATGTTATATGAGTGAAGGTTGGGTGGCCAGATGGTCAGAGCAGAGTGCAGCCTAGGAGTCAGGATGCCTGAGTTCAACTTTCAGCTCTTGGACAGTGGCATGGATGAGTAATCATAGCACTGAACTAGGAGCCAGGACTCCTGGGTTCTGTTCCCAGCTGTGGGAACTATAATGATCTTAGCATGGGAAGGTAGTGTGGATAGGTGATCACAGCAGGGGACTGGGGGCCAGGACTCCTGGGTTCTGTTCCCAGCTCTGGGAAGGGAGAGCAGCCAAGCAATCACAGCAGGGGACTGGGGGCCAGGACTCCTGGGTTCTGTTCCCAGCCCTGGGAAGGGAGAGCGGCTGAGCAATCACAGCAGGGGACTGGGGGCCAGGACTCCTGGGTTCTGTTCCCAGCTCTGGGAAGGGAGAGCGGCCGAGCAATCACAGCAGGGGACTGGGGGCCAGGACTCCTGGGTTCTGTTCCCAGCCCTGGGAAGGGAGAGCGGCTGAGCGATCACAGCAGGGGACTGGGGGCCAGGACTCCTGGGTTCTGTTCCCAGCCCTGGGAAGGGAGAGCGGCCGAGCGATCACAGCAGGGGACTGGGGGCCAGGACTCCTGGGTTCTGTTCCCAGCTCTGGGAAGGGAGAGCGGCCGAGCGATCACAGCAGGGGACTGGGGGCCAGGACTCCTGGGTTCTGTTCCTGTCCAGCTGCCTCCAAAGTTCGATGCCCCCTGGCCAGGGAGACTCGCCCCCCCCCGGATGCCTTGGGGACCCCACACCCCGATGCCCTCACTCACCTGGGGCCTCAGCCTGGGCTGTCTGGGGGAGGGGGTCTCCTAGGCCCCTGCAGCAACCATAGCAACTCCGTCCCCTTCAACTTCCGGCTCACCGCCGATTACTTCCGGTCACTTCCAATCGCTCCCATCCCCCCTCGGCGGCTGCAGCCGGGGCCATGGGGGGCGCCGGGAGTCAGGGCTCTCGAGACTCTATCCCTTGTCCGCTGGAGAGCGCGGCTATAACGGGGCCGCTCTACGCGCACCCCTGCTAGTCTCGGTGGTCAGGCTGGGGCGCTAAAGCGCAGGCCATCGGCGGAATTTGCGGGGCGACGCTCTATCCTCGCCCGAGTCTCTCTGGCCGCGCGGAGGACTCAGCACGCGGAAGAAACGAGGGGGCCGCTCTACCCTGCAGTCCTCTCGTCTCGCTAGCCTAGCGGAGGACTGTGTCTCCCGGCCCCCGCCGGCGGAGCACAAAGGAGAGGCGGAAGTGGGCGGCTAGAGGGACCTGCCTGCCGCTCTATCCGCGCGGGCCCTAGTCTCGGCGCTCCCCCAAGGAGGACTGACGGCAGGCAGGGAGCCGGGGGAGGGGGAGAGAGAAGATGGCGGAGGCCTCGGCAGCGGCCGTCGTGTCCCAGCATCGCTTCTTCTGCCACAGCTGCAAGGGGGAGGTCAGCCCCAAGCTGCCGGTAAGGGGCGGGGCCAGGGGGCGTGAACCCCCAGATCCGCCGCCGGAGGGGCCCGGGCGGGAACCCAGCAGCCCCCCCATGAAAAGGGGGGGTAAACCCCGGTCCTCTCCCCCTGGGGGGGGAAGGAGCTGGCGGGAGGGGGGGTTAAATCCCACCAACCCCGGCCCTGAAAGGGGGGGGTTAAATCCCAATCCCCGCCCCCAAGGGAGGCTAGCGGGAAGGGGGGTTAAACCCCCTTTCTCCTCCCCCCGGTGGTGGTGGTGGGGGGGTTAAACTCCAGCAGCTTCCCCAGCGAGAGGGGGTTAAACATCAAACCCTTGTCCTCAGGGATCGAGGGGGCCCAGGCAGGAGGGGCTGAAACCCCAGCCCCCCACGTGAGAAAGGGGAGAGGGTTAAACCCCAACGTATTCCCCGAAAAGGGGGGTAGGCCTGAGGGTTAAGCCTAGCTTGGGGGATAGGCTCCTTCTCCTGCCGGGGGGGACGGACAAAAGGAAGGTGGGGGTTAAACCCCAGCACATCTCTTGGGGGGTGGGAGGGGGGAGGTTGAGGGCCCCCTCTAATCTCCACACCATCGAACTGGAAGGGGAGGTGTTCAGCCCTCCATTGTCCTCCAAAGAGGTGAAGGTGCAAGGGGCTAACCCCACATCCTCTCCTTTAGTATTGGAGAGGCTAAACCCCAAGCTTCCCTGATGGGAGGGGCCACTCAGGTTGGGGAGGGGGGTGTGGCGGGCGGGGGCTAATCCCAACCATCCCCATGGAGAGAGGGGGGGTTCCCTTTGGGAACACAGGGAAGGTTAAGCCCCACTGAGAGTGGAGGTAAACCCCAGTTCACCCTTCACAGGGTCCCCAGGTCTTCTCGAAAGCAAGGACACCCATTCTCCCTACTCTAGAGAGAGAACCCCTGGGGGACAGAGGCAGGGACCCAGTGGCACAGAATCCTAGGACAGGAAGGGACCTCGAGAGGTTATCTAGTCCAGTCCCCTGCATGGAGGGAGGTCTCCCAATTCTCACAGTGAGAAGGGCAAATTTCAGTTCCCCAGCCAGAGGATCAGTAGGGTCCCAAGTAAGGGAACGTCTCCCTCATGCCCTAGGGAAATGGTTCTCCTTTTGAGCACCCTTTCTGGGTGAGTGTAAAATAGTCCTGTGTCTCTTTGGGGTTGAAGTTGTATGCAGTGTAGTGGGGGGCTGAGTCACAGCTAACCCCAAGCAGTTCTGCCATAGAGTGGAGGGGTCTGGACGAGTCTAGTCTGTGGTCTCTCCATTTAGCTCCAAAATGGTTAGACTCAAAGGGTGTCCTTGTTGTGCTGCTGATGTTCTAGTGACGTTATAGACCATATCTCGGTGAGCCTCCTGTCTTGGGAGGTGTCGTTGGGGAGCAGAAGGCTATTTGAGGAGAGGAACAGGCAATGTAGCTTGACCAGATCAGACCAGGCACATAATACTGTTTTTTGCCCGATATATGGGAATATCTGGATATTCTTTGCTAAAGGGGTGCCCCCCAGGCACCACCTCTGTGCCCAAGTTTCCCCACCTGTAAAATTAGGATAATACCTACCTACCTTCTGAGAGAGCAAGTTTAGGAAGATTGTGAGGCTCTTAAAGTTTGTGATGCGCCTTAAGGTTTTCAGACGAAAGAAGCTAATGAAGAGCAGGCTGCTGCAGCAAAATCTCAATGATCTGGACCCTGAAACAGGATGATGTCCTCCAGTTCCTGGGAATTTCGTAACTGGGGGGCACCCTTCAGTTATCCAGACTGATTCAGCGTCCCTCTGACATTTAGGTAAACGAGGGAATGCTGTGCTATTCTTCCCCTCTGCACAGTGAAGGGAGGTAAGAGGGGGGCCTCAAGGAATTTTTTTACTTTAAAAATCATTCATACATGGCATGAATGATGATCCCGAAGATTTCTCTAGCTTACGTCACAGGTAGCTCACGCCTCTGCAATTGCATATAGTCCTGTTGAGACTTAGCTTGTCCATCCAAAATGCAAATTGATCATGTATCTCTCTGCTTCCAAACCCACCCTATGTCCCCTCAAGTGTAGCTAGTAGCCCTGCCTTCTGGTATTTTCTCTCTCCCTCTCCCAAATCGTGTTCAGCTCCCTCTTTAGACTACTTGCCTCTGTTGCTGACTTATGCAGTTTTCCCTCCAATGTTTCAACTGTCCTTTGTTGTAAAGAAATGCTGCTCTAAATTGCTCACGACCAAGTCTCTTCCGTAACGGATTCAGGATTTCCTGATGCCATTAGTGCATTTTTTGGTATTGGAACTAAAACTCCAGGCCTAGAACGTCAATGCATTTACGTGTCACGTTGTTGTTTGACTAGTCACCGTGTAATACCCACGAAAGCTTATGCCCAAATAAATCTGTTAGCTTTTAAGGTGCTACCGGACTCCTTGTCATCTTAGCATTGGTTCCCTTTTTTCTTTTGCCCTGATGTTGTATATATCTATCAGCATTCCTACCCAGGCCCCTTTATTTCTAAATCAGAGTCTTCAGTTTTGCTCTGCCTGGGCATTATTGCTCCTGGACCCTTTGTAAGGCTAATGGTTTGACCTGGATTTTATTATTATAATTAGTAGCACCCAGAACCCTAATTGGGATCAGGGTTGCAGTGTGCTGGGAACCTGTCATCTCCCCCTCTATGGGCACAGTGTTGTGCTCTTGAAGATTTTCTGTCTTCCACCCCGCGGGTGTCTGCATTTCAGGTATTCCTGAGGATGATACAAACTCTAGAAATGTGAGGATATTATTACCCATACTTTATAAATAATATGTTCAGGACTTGTACCTGCCAAACCAGTAAATCGTTTCACCTTTTCAACCTCTCCACTACAGGGGTGACAACCTCTTTATCTCCCCCTGTTCCGGTGACGCACCTAACCTGATGTGAACCTACTTGAGTTAGGGGCCACCCCTCTTTCAGTCAGCTTCTCAAGCAAGGGATCTCTCGACAGAGTCCCAGGCAGCCACTAAGGCCCTGACCTGCCTTGTCATGTCATATTTCTGGAGTAAGACTCTTACACTCTTCTGAAGGCCAGTCATCATGAATCAGCCTATGTTTTGCAATCTCTGGTTGAGGCAAACTTTCCTTAAGGAGCATGAAACTGGGAGGATAACTCCTTAGTTCTAATGATGCTGTGACATTGATTCCCTTTGTGGCCTTGGGCAAGTCACTTCCTTTCTTCATGCCTCAGTCTCTCCATCTGTAAAATGTGGCAAACATTGGTTTCATGGGGTGATGGGTTACTGTTTGTAAAGGGCTACATTAGGACTTGCTTTCAGATCTCTGAATTATCCAGTAGAAGTTCATGGACCTGTTTATCTCCAGATAGGGTGAGATAGCTCAAACCAGTGACTTGGGCCTGGTCTACACCCAAAACTTAGGTCGACCTAGCTGCTTCACTCAGGGCTGTAAAAAGTGTCATGCCTTGAGCACCGTGGTTAGGTTGACCTAAGCCCCGGTGTAGAAGCAGCTGGGTCGACAGAAAGATTTTCCCTTTGACTTAGCTACTACGTCTTGTAGATTACCTGCTTCGATGGAAACCCCCCTTCCATTGCTGTAATCTATGCTACCCTGCTACAGTGACCCAGCTGCAACATTCTAGGTGCGCTGCTGTAGCGCAGACGTGGCCTAAGGCTGAGAGCTAAAGACTGAGAGTCAAGACTTCTGTTTCCAGCTCTGCCAGTAACTTTCTCTGTGAGACCTCAGGCAAGTAACGTCTCTCTGCCAGTTTCCCCTTGTAAAATGGGAAGGTTTTGTCCTGCTTTGGTGTGATTCTTAGATTAGGATAACATCATCTTAAAATAAAAATGATATCTTTTGAGAGAGATCCTGAGATTGCTTACATAGCGGGGCAAGGAGGTAATCCTTTATACCAGGAGTAACACTGCTCATCACACAGGATTGAAAAGTGTGAGGCCATCGCCTCGTTTTGAAGCAAGTGTACAACTTCCATCAGTGTTTATTGCTTGGACAGGCCCTGGGTAAATCTCCCAGAATGCCAGTGGGAAAACAGATTTCGATGCCATGCTGATTTTCAATGTAGTTGTGAATTGTTCTCTATTCAGCAGCAGGGTTCTTGTGATCAACTGTATATAAAAAATATTTAAAATCCACTATTCCCTTCTCTGCCTCCTTCACCAAAAAAGAGAGGGAGAAAGGTAAGCAATCCTTGAAACAAACCACATTTATACATGGCTGGAGCTGTGCTCCTCCCAGGGTGTCACGTGAAGGCTGGCTGTTCACTGACAGGCACAGAAAGAGTTAACTGGGATGTTGGATCTCAGTAGTAATGTTTCCATAGCTTCTGTAGCATAACTGCTGTGCAAGTCACCATTGGCTGAAGGTGGCCTGGTTTCATTTGGAGGGGGGTAGAATAAACCATGTTCCTTGGCTGCCATTTCAAATCACGCTTTCTGCTGAATGCTGCAGGTGCAAGTCAGGTTGCAGCTGCAGCCCAGCGGATACATTTTTATTTTAAGGTAAAGGGATAACTCATCTTGATTAAACACAGCACAAGAGAGAAATCAGGAAGGCTTTTCAGAATTCCAAGTTAAATATCTGCAGTGAAGCGAACTGCTGCCATATGCTTTTTAAAAAATGTTCTTCCCCCAATGGCCCATGTTACAATGAATCTGCAACTTGCCCCTCTCTCAGGTCTTCTGTGATCCTGATCAGTTAATGTCGTCAAAAATCTCATGGCCCTTTTTGTCAGGGATAGGTGGCTGACCCTGGCATCTTGATCATTCCCCAGTTGTAGTCGGAAGATATCAAATCTCTGCAGTTTCATTTATGTTGGGGGGGAGTGAGAAGGGGGGGAGAGCTTTCTTTCACTTAACATTTCTCCTTGTAAAGCACTTTGAACTCATCCAAATTACGCTAAAGGTTACTGCTAACTTCCCATCCTGAACTGTTGTTTTGGGTTGCAGTGCACTGTTAAACAGCTGTCACATGGCACCATGGCATTGTCTGCATTTTAGTGGTGGATTAAATCATC